CGAATATCGGCTTAGAAATATAACTTTATATCGGCTTAGAAATATAACTTTTTTTCAATTTATAATTGAAAAAACCGTGAATATTCGCTATCGGCTTAGAAATATAACTTTTTTTCAATTTATAATTAGAAATATAACTTTTTTTCAATTTATAATTGAAAAAACCGTGAAAATTCGCTATCGAACGATACTAAAATTTTGTCTATATTCTTCATAAAATTTTAACTATTTAGAAAAAATCTCTAAAAAATATGCCATTATATAGAAAAAAGTATGCTCTTTCGTTTGGATTTGACCGATGTTCGAAAATCGGCTTAGAAGTATCACTTTTATCCAATTTAATATTGAAAAAACCGTGAAATTTCGATATCGAAGGATACTAAAATTTTGTCTATATTTCTCATAAAATTTTAACTATTTAGAAAATATCTCTAAAGAATATGCCATTATATAGAAAAAAGTATGCTCTTTCGTTTGGAATTGACCGATGTTCGAAATTCGGCTTAGAAGTATCACTTTTTTTCAATTTAGTATTGAAAAAACCGTGAAAATTCGCTAACGAACGATACTAAAATTTTGTCTATATTCCTCATAAAATTTTAAATATTTAGAAAAAATCCTAAAGAATATGCCATTATATAGAAAAAAGTATGCTCTTTCGTTTGGAATTGACCGATGTTCGAAATTCGGCTTAGAAGTATCACTTTTTTTCAATTTAGTATTGAAAAAACCGTGAAAATTCGCTAACGAACGATACTAAAATTTTGTCTATATTCCTCATAAAATTTTAACTATTTAGAATAAATCTCTAAAGAATATGCCATTATATAGAAAAAAGTACGCTCTTTCGTTTGGAATAGACCGATGTTCGAAATTCGCATTAGAAGTATCACTTTTTTTCAATTTAGTATTGAAAAAACCGTGAAAATTCGATAACGAACGATACTAAAATTTTGACTATATTCCTCTTAAATTTTTAATATTTAGAAAAAATCTCTAAAGAATATGCCATTATATAGAAAAAAGTATGCTCTTTCGTTTGGAATTGACCGATGTTCGAAATTCGGCTTAGAAGTATCACTTTTTTTCAATTTAGTATTGAAAAAACCGTGAAAATTCGCTAACGAACGATACTAAAATTTTGTCTATATTCCTCATAAAATTTTAACTATTTAGAAAAAACCTCTAAAAAATATGCCATTATATAGAAAAAAGTATGATCTTTCGTTTGGAGATCTTTCGTTTGGATTTACCTGATGTTCGAAAATCGGCCTAGAAGTATCACGCCTAGACTGATGTTCGAAAATCGGCCTAGAAGTATCACTTTTATTCAATTTAATATTGAAAAAACCATTCAATTTAA